GGGGCTTACTTTGGAATAAGTTATTAATTTTTTAATACATCTGGAAGAGTATTTTGGAAATTGATAGTCCCAAAACAATATGTATGTTCTGAGCTAATATGTACTTATGGCTTTAAAAGGCTCAGAATATCATTTAGAATTAATTATAGTAGTTTGTACTCACTGGTACAACTTTTATACAGGAGCTCATTAAGTTCTGTGAGACTCTACATTTTGTCTTTGACAATTGACGAGACTGTTTTATTCACATTGAATTCTCAAAATTTTGCAAGATAAGTATTCCTGTTTTGTGAGGAAGAAAAAAGATTTAGGGAGTTCAGGAACACAGCATCTTTGTAAAGTGGCAGAGTTGTGATCAAAATGTAGTCTTCTAATGTCAGGTATATTGCAGCTAAACTAGCAATTCATCAGAATCGCCTGGAGTGCTTTCCATAAATTCCTGGGTTTTACCCCCAGATGCTGAGTTAGTTGAATTGGTCCAGAATTCTATAGTTTTATAACTTTTGCAGATGAATCTGAGTGATGAGTGAAGTTTGGAAGATAGTAAGACTAGACTGCATGGCTGGTGATAAATACTTTTGCAAGGTGTAATTTGAAGAAAAACAATCCCAGGCATATCTATAAATACAAATTTCTGTATTCATTTATAAGTGTCAAAACATTGTCACTATTCTAGACATAAAGTTAGATATAGTAATGAATGAAACAAAAATGTCTTGCCCTTAAGGAGGTTGTGTTCTAGAGTGGGAGAGTACACAAGCACAGTAGAACCTCCCTAAATTGACCACCTTTTAAGTTGACCCAGTTTTCATAGACCAGACATTTACTATAGGTACATATCAGTACAGTAGGCCTAGTTTCTTATGTTGGCCATCTCCAGTTTGTTACAGCCCCTTGGATGGTTAATATACAGAGGTTCTGCTATATATGTTTTTATGTCAGGTGATAAAAGGTGCTGTTGAGAAAAGTAAAGCATTAAAGACTGGAATGCTGGGGAGGGAGGAGTTTGCAATTTGAAATAAGAGTAGTTGAGGTGAGTGCTTCATTGAGAGAATGAAATTTGAGCAAAGGCCTGAAAGAGATGAGAAGAGGAGTAAGTCATCCAGGCAGGGGGAGAAGCAAGTTCCAGGAACAGAGTTTGAAAGAGAGAACAGAGGCTGCCTGTCACGTTTGTGCTACTGCAGTGAAATCGGTGGAGTGATAGAAGATGAGTCAAAAAAATAATGGTAGAGCTGGACCAAGTAGGGTCTTACAGGTCTTTGTAAGGTATCTGCCTTTAGACTCTGGGTGGTGTAACCTGACTTATGTGTTAAGAGGAGGACTGTGGCTGCTGAGTTGAAAATATGTGTAATGGCAAGACCTGAACCAAGGAGACTACTTGTGGTGCAGTATGCAAAATATCTGTCTTCATCCCTGGTTGTTTTTTTTTTTTTTTGAGACAGTGTCTCAAGCTGTTGCCCTGGGTAGAGTGCCATGGTGTCATAGGTCACAGCAACCTCTAACTCCTAGGCTCAAGCAATCCTCTTGCCTCAGTTTTTCTATTTTTTAGTAGAGACAGGGTCTCGCTTTTGCTCAGGCTGGTCTTGAACTCTTGAGCTCAAGCAATCCACTCACTTTGGAGTCCTAGAGTGCTGGGATTATAGGCGTGAGCTGCTGCGCCCAACCCGTCCCTGGTTCTTGTGATAGAGCTAAAACTCTTAGAATTTCCCAACCAATATTGGTGTCTTTTGTTATTCATAATGATCCAGTTTGTTAACACCAGAGTTGATACTGATGAGGTGAATTGGAATGAAGCCTTAGATGGCCTCAAATGGGGCCAGAAAGACTAAGAGATTAGAGAGTTAGAGTTAGACTTTAGCCTTATCCCTTCAACCTTCAGGAAAGGGGCAGGGCTGGAGATCAGTGTCTATAAAAACAAGATAGGAGTTTGTTGAGCTTTGAGATCAGTAGGAGGGTGTTGTATCCAGAGGATTTAAGGGTTTTGCACACCCCTTCCCCCCAAATACCTTGCCCTATCCATCTCTTTATCTGTATCCTTTGTAATATCCTTTGGGATAAAATCAAGTAAGTATTTGAGTTTTGTGTGTCATCCTTGTAAATTAATTTGTCCAAGGAGGGAGCAGTAGGATTTCCAGTTTGTAACCATTTAGTCAGATGTACAGAGAGCCTGGACTCAGGATTGACATCTAGGTTGGAGGTAGTCTTTATGGGATTTAGCTCTTAACCTGTAGAATATGACTCCATCCAGGTAGATAGTATCAAAATTGAATTTCAGAATACCTAGTTGGTGTCCACTGGAGAATTGCTTGGTATGGGGGAAAACTCCCCCACATATCTGATTACAAAAGTGTGCTGAGGATAGAATATATAAAAGTTGTCAGAATCAAAATGGAGTCACTTGTGTTTTAATAAAAAGGAAAGAAAGAAAAAAACCTTGACAAATAAACCCAGGGAAGACTATGAAAAGAAGGTTCTTAGACATAAATGCCTGATAACAAAAACTATTATAACCTTGTACAAAGGCTATTATAGTCTTACCCATAAGGTACTACTGGGTGAAAATCTGCCCAGCAACTGACTGCCCACCCTTGGACTGGTGTCACCCTTGTTATTGATCCCTGTATAATTATCTGAATTATGTAGTCCTTATTTTTCCTTTAAAACCCTTTATCTTCCTTTATCTCCCTGAATATGTGCATAGTTTCCTGTGGCACACATATTCCCAGTCTCAGCTGCTTAGGAGGCTGAGGCAGGAGGATCGCTTGAGCCCAGGAGTTTGAGGTTGCTATGATCTAGACTGAGGCCATGGGTGACAAAAGTGAGACTCTGTTGGGAGTGAGTAGGAGAAGAATTAGGAAGTATAGATTGTTCAGAATTGTTTTTAAGTTGGGAAAAATAACTGTACATTTGTGTTCTGGTTGTAGAGAGGGGAAAAAAGGGGAAAGTGGCAGGAGCAGTATCTCTGGAGCAGGGAATGGGCTCTCTTGCACAGGGGAAGGGATTAATTTTAGGAGCTTTAACAGCTCATCCCTAACAGCAGACTGTAAACAGAGAGTTTATTAGTTAACTCGTAATTAGTTATACTTGGCTTAAAGGGATCAAATAA